GAAACAAGAAACATCATCATCACAACAGCTCAGAACATGATTCCTAAAAAACGACACAAGAAACAGATTTACATTACAGAAAAAACTTTCTAGCTGATAGAAGAAAGAAGACATTTAAAGCAAGTAGGGACAGAAAGGAATCGCCATGCATATAGGAACTACACGAAAGAAATCAGAAGAGCTATCAGAGGAGATAAAAAAAAAAGTTTATTATAAATACCTCTAATAGAATTGAACAAATCCAGATGCAAGGAAGAGGCTGAGACATGTTTAAAGAAATTAAAACTTTGAAAGGCGAATTCAGGCCTTCTTTTTATGTAATAAGTGATAAAAACGGTAACACAGTAACGGAAACCAAAGACATATTAGAAAGATGGAAAGAATACTGTAGAGAAATGTATGAGGATGTGACAAGTAATTCAAAAACGACTTGTGAAAGTTATGAAAAAGAACCAGAGCCATTACTGGATGAGGTACGATCGGCAATACACAGCCTGAAGAAAGGAAAGTCACCAGGTTGCGACGAAATACCAGCAGAACTACTTCAAGCAGGAGGAGAAGCCAGCGTCCGAATCTACCATGCACTGTGCTCGAAGATCTGGAACAGTGGTATTTGGCCTAAAACGTGGAAAAGAACAGTCTATATCCCTCTCCCAAAGAAAGGAAATCTGAAACTATGCTCCAACTACCGTACCTTCGCATGAATAAGTCATGCTAGCAAAATCCTTTAACGAATTATCATGAAAAGGATTGAAAGGAAACTACAATATGAGCTAGATGAAGCACAAGCGGGTTTGAGACAGAGTAGAGGAACTAGGGATCACATCTTTAATATGAGAATAATTTTTGAAAAATGTAGAGAATATAACAAAGATCTTCATGCTTGTTTTATTGATTATAGCAAGGCATTTGATTGTGTCCAGCACCACAAACTGTGGACTATTATGAAAAGTATGGGGTTTCCAGCGCATTTAGTTCATTTAATTGAAAATCTTTATCATGAATAACAAGCAGCCAACAGAGCAAACATCTGATTGGTTCGTGGTGCAAAAGGGGAGTGAGGCAGGGGTGCATTCTCTCATCATACCTTTTCAATATATACTCAGAAAATATAATGAGAAATGTCAAAAACGACCAGACTTGTAACAGTTATGATCCGCTCAAAATTGGTGGCAACCCTATTCCGGAACTCCGCTACGCAGATGACACAGTCCTCCTTTCAAACAGCGTAAAGAGAAACGAAAATTTAATCTTGTCTGTCCAAAAGCACAGTGAAGATCAAAATCTGTTCTTGAATTTAAAGAAAACGAAAATAATGTCCACAGATAAAACTGGCTGTCATCCAAAAATAACAATAAATAATGAAGAAATTAAAAATGTCCCAAACTTTGAATATCTGGGATCTATAATAAACAACAATGGACAACAATGGAGACTGTTCAACATAAATTAAAAGGAGGATGGCCTTGGCAATGCAAAGATTGAACAGCCTTAAAAGTCTATGGTTAAGCACCAGCAAGGAGATACAAATTAGAATTTTGAGAGCATGCATCTTCCCTGTCGCTACATACGGATGTGAGTCGTGGACTATATCTCAGTCCTTAAGAAAGAAATAGGGGCTTTTGAGCTGAAATGCTATAGAAAGATTCTCAGAATATCTTGGACAAAGAAGAGGAGAAATATTGACATCTTAAAAGATCTGAACATCAGGGAAGATTGGCTAATAAACAGCATCCTTTCTCGGAAGCTGAAATATTTTGGTCATATCAAGCGCCACAACGGATTGGGAAAAAACTATAGCAGAAGGCATGGTACCAGGAAGGAAGGACAGGGGCCGACCGACACGAAGATGGGCACAGGATAAAAGTGACTCTTTGAGTATGAAAGTATATGAGGCAGGAGAACTGGGGAGAGACCGAGTTTCTTTCAGGCAGACTGTGATGAGAGCGACGTTCTGCAAAGGACCTGCTACATGATGATGATGACATGTAATATGAGTCTTTACGGTGATTTTCCCCAACCTATGTAGACATTTGATTCAGCCAGGTTTCTTAAGCTACTTTATATTTGATCACTATTTCTTTTTGTATTCTAGAGTATCCTTCTTTGTCATTCTTTTTCTTCCTTGTTTCATCCATCAACTGCAGACTTTCGGTTGACATCAATTTCTTTTTTTTTTTCTTTTTTTTTTTGGAACTCTATGGGTTGTTGGGATTGTCTATTTGATGTCTGCTGAATTGACTTACGCAACATATCCCACTGTTCATCAATAGTCTGTATAATTTCCATTGCATTATACCGGTTTTGTACAGTGACATTGTACTGTTCCTTATGTAATAGGCTGGAAAACTACTGTTCAGCAGCTAATCGATTTTGATTTAATCTAGTTTAAAAATGACAAAAGAGGCCACAGGAATAAGCTTTTATGTTTCGAGTGTAACGCGGAAAAAGTCTGGCCACTGGGTATAAAAGACTTAAGTCTTTCAGCGACCTAATTGACTTGTGGACCTTCCCTGTAGAGACCTACCTAGCTGTTGCGGCTTTGCATATTGGGCTAGTCAGCTGGTATGGCGACCGAAGGGAAAGGCCGTGGTCAGACTGATTTCGCACTCGGTGGTACGTTTCATTCGGTTAAGTGGTGGTAGATTTTATAATTAGCATTTTAGACTCTGGTCGAGCAGTTTGGTTGCTGTTAATGTCGTTATTTTGGACCCTGCTGATCATATTTTAAGTAAAATAAACAGATGTTCAGTGTAATAATCATAGTTCCAGTTGCTTTCCGTTCAGCTTAAGACCTGTAGTTAGTGTGCTTAGTTTAGTCTATTTGTTGCTTGGTTTGATTTAGACTTTACACAGAAGATTTCTTGTCAGGGTGAGATATTATTGATTTCACCCCCGCCTAAACGAACTTTTTCTCTGTTTTTTTTTTTCTTGTTACTGAGGCAGCTTATGGTCGGGTTTGGCTCCAACTCGCCACGTGACATTATTTAGAGCTCTTGTAGGTTCGGAGTCGAGGAGATTTCAAGTAGTAGATTTCCAAATTATCCTTTATACTTAATCTCTTCTATTTACTCTTGTACAAGATACCCCCTCTGCTTTGCTTCTAGTACACTTAATTTCTTTATCCATTTTAAGTATTCCAAAATTTAACTTGATGTTCCGTGGTGTTTTCTTCATATTCATTTAGTTATATTTTAATCTTTCCTATAACTGGAACATGGTCACTAAAGCAGTCTGCTCCTGGTCTAGTTTTGCTTTAACTAAACTGCTCCGGAATCATCTTAAAATAAAAATATAATCAATCTGATTGTTGCGGACATTATTGCCATGACTTTTCCAAGATCACAATCTTCGAGGGTGGTGTTTAAACTAGTTCATGTTATTAATCTGTCACCTCTCACATTCTTTTCTCCTAGGCCATGGCCACCCGTTATTCCGTACACTTTTTCACTTCCTATTTCTGCGTTGAAATCTAAAAATACCATTGTTACTGCACAATTTTTTGCATTGATCCACAGCCACGTCTAACTCTTCATAAATTACGTCAATATCTTCTTCTGAACTATCTGCTATTGGACATAAATCTGTACTAAGTTGATTTCAAACGGTCTGCCGTGAAGTTTTACTAATAGTACTCTATCTAATATTTTCCAAAATACTTTCACAGTTTTTGAGATCTTTGAATCCAAAATAATACCAACTTCCTTCCCCTCCGAGTAAATAATTCTGTGCCGATCTGAAAACTTGCCCCCTTCTCCTGGCCATCGCATTTCACTAATTCCTTAATATGCTAATGTTCATTCTCTTCATTGACATCTTGATGTTATCGAGCTTTCCGTTTTGTACGAGTGTTCTGACATTCGATGTTCAGGATGTTTCTACCATTTACTTTTTCTATAGTAGCTGGATGACGGTCGGGTATCACCCGTAGAACATAATGCTCCCTACCGGACGAGGTGATTTCACTGGAATCCCCACTCACGTCGTTATCTGAATTCGCTATGTTACGTACAGATAGAGAAATATTATACAGATAAATGTCGTTTGTAATACATAATGCATCGGATAATAATGTTTCATATACGGTTTAAGGTAATTCGTTAACAGACACCAGCTCGTTTTTGGAAAACAGAAACAAAATAAATAAATAACACTTGCAACTTTTTGCGTCTCAAACAGGTGTTGCTTTAATGCCCTTTTTTATAAATTGGATGTTCTTGAAAATCAATAATTACATAGATCCGAATGAATTCTTCTACATCCCGCCTTTAAAGTTAGATAGGCAAGTTGCGGTTTAAAAGCAAGGCTGCGATACCTGCGCATTTCAGTCCGAAATATCGATCTCAGATCCTAATTACTCGCTTTCATGACATACTTGTTAGATGGCCGTAAATATGCTCTACCCCACCCCTCTGTGGGGCCCAGAAACCCACTCTGGGTTGAAGGAGTTTAGGAGACACACTTAGAAAAAAAAAATTAGATCATCGTCAGTCAGCAGGTCCTTTACAGAATATCGTTCTCCTAAGGTACGTCTAAAGGTTTCTCGTTTTCTAGGCCTGTCCTTCACTTATTGTTCTTTCATATAGTCAATGCATCTTCACTGATGTTTATCCACATTCGCAGTGGTCTGCCTTTGCTTAGTTTTTCGGAAACTGTCCCCTCGATTCCCGTGTTCTGCAGCGCTACCATGAAGTTTAACACGACAAAAATACCCCAGTTTTCGGGAAGGATGCTGTTTATAAGCCAATTCTCCTGGATGCTCACATCATGTAGGATTTCGGCGTTTTTCTTCTTCTTGGTCCAGATTATTCTAAGAATTTTCTGTAGCATTTCACATCAAAACCTCCTTTTGTGTCTTCTTTAATGATTGAGTACGTGATATGATCTCTGATAAAGGAGAAGAAGTCCATTATATTCTCTTAGAAAGACCAAGAAACAGATAATGTGTTGATAGTTTCCAAAGAATTAAATGATTCTAAAACAACTTCGTGATGTGTAAATCACATAACTGCTGGAAGAAGCACATCGGCATTGTTAATACCAGGACCATCAAAAGGTGATGCCGCCAAAATTCCCACTTTATTGGCCGCCGGATTTGCAGGATAGGCTGTAGTAAAATAGCCATCATTGTCAACTTTGGTTCCTCCTGCAAAATCTATGGATCCCGCTAAGGGAGTTGAATTCAAGCTGTTATCGGAAGTGTTGGGAGTGGTTTCTGCATTTAACTGTGTCTTGTTGCTTGGTTGCGTAAGTTGGGAACCGGTGGATCCGACAACAGTCGCCTGAGTAGTATTTTGAATGTTGAGTTTGAATATGTCATCCGTTTGTGTAGTTTGGGAATCTTTGCCGGGAGGCATGAATGTTAGATTTCTGATAATCGTGTCATTCGTGTCGTTCATATTGGTTTTCATACTACTGTACGGGTTGGTGTCATTCATGTTAGGCGTGGTGGTTTCACTCATGTGAGGCGAGGTGGTTTCTTTAGTGTTTTTCAGGTTGGTATCATTCATATTATCCATGCTAGTTCCGTTTATAGTATACATATTGGTGTCATTACCCTGATTTAAATCGGTTCCGTTCACGTTATATGTGTCATTCATATTATACAGCTTGGTGTCATTCACATTACCTACGGCGACTCCGTTCATACTGAACAAACTGGAGTTGTTCCCATCAACAGTCTTAGTGTCATTCATATTGTCCATTCTGCTGTCATTCGTAATGCTCAGTTTGTTTTCACCCATTTTGAACAAATCGGTGTCATTGACATTATTAACCTTAGTGGTGTTCATATCTCTGTTGTCAAGGACGTTGGCACCATTGACACCGGAAGTTCCATTACCTGCACCCACCTTTAACGCCGAAGACCCATCTGAACCTCCTCCCTCCAGCTGGGGTGTAGGAACTGAAGAATCTACAGGAGCCGGATTCGATCCTTCACTGGATTTTGTTAAATTAGCCGGAACGAGGTCATTTGTAGATGGCGACTTGGAGAAAGCTGAAAATGGATTGGTCAGATCCAGGTTGTATCCCTTTGTTGATCTATATTTGAAAGAGTCTTCAAACATGTTGATGTCAATGGCGGACATGATCTTGTCAAGGGAGGTTTTAACGTCCAGGGTATTGGTTCCTTGGGAAATACAAAGTAAACCAACGTTATGAAAACACAAATCAGAGATTATCGATTCTTATGTACTGATAAAATAAAAATTTACTTTACTATCTGTACTTAACAAGTTTATTTTTGTATCAGTGAAAACAGGGAAAGAGTAACCAAGCGTGTATTTAACGGCTGTAATCGCCGCCTAAACTTTCCATTGTCAAAGAAAACTACATAATTTTTCAACATTTTTTTCTACCAATAGTAAAACAATAACGATAATTAATAAAAACATTAACAGCCAAATCAACACACATACATCAGCGTAACAACACACACACACACACACACACACACACACACGGAGAGAGAGAGAGACAGACAGACAGACAGACAGACAGACAGACAGACAGACAGACAGACAGACAGACAGACAGACAGACAGACAGACAGACAGACAGACAGACAGACAGACAGACAGACAGACAGACAGACAGACAGACAGACAGACAGACTACCGCACTACTAATTACAACAAAAGTAAAGAGTTTATTAAGTCTTCTGTTTCGATTAACCAAACGTCCTTGTTTTTGGCCATAACATTTATGTTTTGCAACGA